ACAAAGACGACTACGACAAAGACGACTACGACAAAGACGACGACGACGACAAAGACGACAAAGACGACAAAGACGACGACGTTCTTTCTTGCATCAAAGAAAATATCATCTATTATTTGGACACAGATAAAATGACAAAAGATGTTTTGAATTCAAACATATTTTTGCACTATACGTAGACAAATAGGGTAGCACAGTTGGTAGAGCTGTTGTCTCTCAACAAGAAGGTTGCCAGTTCAAATCTTGGCCAGGGAACTTTCTGGGTGGAGTTTGTATGTTCTCTCCGTGCATGCATGGATTTTCTCCAGGTACTCCAGTTTCCTCCCACAGACCAAAAACATGCATGTTGGATTGACTGGTAACTCTAAATTGTCCCTAGGTGTGAGTGAGAGAATGAATGGTTGTTTGTCTCGTTTGTCTCTATGACGGACAGGAGACCTGTCCAGGGTGTTCCCTACCTCTCGCACAGGGATGGCTGGATATGGGCACCAGTTACCCCCATGACCCAAAAAGGAAGAAGCATGTAAAACATAATAAAGCCGTCATTTCTAACCCAGGCCTGAAGCCTGGCTCAACCCGACATGAATTGGGGTAGGCCAGGTCTGGCTTTTAATTGCGTCAACGGCTCAGCTCAGCAATCCAATTATATGGCAACATGGCTTGCCAAACAGTCCAATTATATGGTAAATTGGCTAGCTGTACAATCACCAGCCGCATGTGGCCATTTCACTGCGAGCTGACCAGCCTTGTTAAAGAGGCTTCAGATGGGCTACGGGTACTGCCAGGAAGCGATCCATTGCCCAAATGGACGTTCATTCAACCGCTGACTCAAACAGTTGAGATCCCAAAGCAGACATGTCAGAGCAGGGTCCGTGTCTGAATAATGCAGAATGCAGGCAGAAGCAGGGATTTAATGCGCTTTGACGGCCATGAATGGACAAACATCCCCTCAGCTCCAATCTTCTGCCCCCTTTTATTCAGCCACTCATCTGCTGACTGTTAATAACTATATAGGCAGTCAAAGCTTAATTAAAAATATTGGGGATTTTTTCGGGTTCTGACCTGTAATTACTGTTAATCCATCGGGTCGGGTGGGGTTCGGAAATGATAGCTACGGGCTGAGTCGTGTCGGATCTGATTTTTTGGGCCCGAATACAACTCTAAAACATAATGGATGGATGTTTATAGGCAAATATGATCTTGAATATGGTTCAGTAACAATAAATTGTTAGCACATAAATTGGACAGGGTTTATATTCAAGTCATGTCTCCATGTAGGCAAAATGTTTTAAGCTTGAAATTATTTGCTCTGTCTCATTGTTGCCCCATTCTTCATGCGATACACAACTCAATTTTCATTAGGATTTTGAAAGAATATCCAAACTATTCTCTAAAGAAAAAAACCTCAAACATGATTTTTATAATCTCAACCAAGCTCAGTAGACATCTCCACACCAGTTTCCATCCTCCACCTTATTTCACTCATATGGCTCACTTTTCTTTGTTCCCCACACCAGCAACAGTTGTGATCATGATCCTAATCACTATTGACACACGGCACCCTCCCCTCCGTGTTGCTTTCTCTGCCCGCTTGCTATAGGGCCCCCACCACATTTCGTTCAGGCCTTCGGAGGAAATGTGATCCAGAGGGGTGCTGGAGCACAGAGGTGCTATTGTTCCTGCGCTGTCGGTCCTGCCTTACATATATGTCTTTAGTAGACGTCTGCTTCTTTAAACTGCCGGCGGAGGTCGTCTTAAAGTGCACGGACAGGGTTGGGTTACTTTTTTTAACTGGGGGGTTAAACTGAAATGAGCTCCGAGTAAAACAAAAATGCAGGAAACCAACCTAGTCTTTAAAAGGGGTGCCACTCTTTCATACCGCTCTTCAAACCTCTGCCTCTCCCTAAAATATACACACAAACATGCAGTCAGACATGTCAGTTCTTTTCGTTTGTGATGCCTGAATAATTTATTAAGGACAGAAAGCATGAAGGATCATCTAACAAGACTGTCAGGTCCTCTGGATGTTTTTTGTTCAACAATTTCCTGCAGGATCAGTAAAGTTACTATCTTATGTTATTGTTGAAACGTTTTTCTTTTATCCAAAAGTCTTCATCAGTCTGAGGCGCCGCAACAAACTCAGTCTTATAAATAAAACCTTCTCATAGTGGCTCAACCAGTCTGCTGGTGACATCCAGAACTAGCTGTTCACATTTAAAAAAAGGAGGACCATCAGCCTAACAATTGGTCGCTAGTGCCCTGATGGCAGCTTGCTATTCACAGAGGGCCGAGTGATACTAGCAACAACAGCATTGTAAGAGGGGGACAGTTGAACACAGACGCCTCTGCCCCGTTTAATGATGGAAAGGTTCACTTCACAAAGATGGATTCCTTTACTACTCTCAAACCATTGTTCCTCTCTATCAAGGATGAAGTACAGTATGAAGAACAGTATTAGCATGGGTAACCTGGGTTGTTTTCCTATGTTAAGGCAGCAAAAATTGTTTAATTAAACATTAAATTAATAACAAATAAAAGTAAGCATCATCCCAGTATCTTCTTTCTTTAGCTACAAACACTACCAAGTGGTAGACTTTGGAAGCTCAATTAGTGAAGTGACATTTGCAAACGATCCAAATCTGTTGAACAGCTCTTTCAACGAACAATGGGAACTGAGTAGCAGACAGTTGAGAGTTGTTCCTTGATTTATTTGTTTCCTCCTCGTGATTTATTTGTTTTTTTTTTTCCTGCTCAAATGCAGAAAATGCTCATTTTTCTAATTAGATAACGGAGAACAGGCAAATGGAATGAGTGAAGCAGCTCAGGAGGGAAGACAAAGCACGTGATAAGGCCCTGACTTCAAAACTTTACCATGTACAACCTACGTCATAATGTTCATCTGTATGCCATGATGTCAGTACCATTCAAACCTGAATGGCTCTTTGAAGCAAATGGATCTTCAAGTTCCAGTTATCCTTGAAGATCCATACATCTCATCTCTATACTATCATTTTCAAGCTAAACAACAAGACAATAATGAAACTGAAATGAATAGCATGTCCTAGTTTAATACTAAACCCGTTAGCTTGTGTAGCTTGCAAGCTAAAGGCTATCTAAAAGCTTTTTACACAAATAAGAGCTTGAGTTTATTGGCAGATTTTAAAATCGGAGTCAACTTGATAAATGTATTGAACAAAAACAAAACAAAGGCTGACGGGTCAGCAAAAGGTTACTTGGATGAAATGAAGGAAATGTTGGCGGAACAGACAGGACAGGCTGGGAAGCACAATGCACAGAAAGACACAACACAGAGACAGTGGAATTATAGGGAGACTAAATGAACAGAATGATGAACACCTGGGGTGATTGAGATTGGAGACAGGTGAGACAGGAGCTGACAAGGAAGAAAACACTAGGGGGTGCAGGAAACAAGGGTCTAATAATAAAACAGATAAATAACAATATCTTGTAGAGCTGTGACATTAAGAGTCATGAGTCAGGTAGAAAATACTTTAAAGATAATTTTCAGATTTTCCTGTAAACATGCTCATTTTATTTCACAAAAAATATTATATGCTTTAAATTGCTTCTTATGTCTAAATGTGTGTGCCTTTTGTCGAAACTCTTAAACTCCACTTAAAATAAAGAGACCCTACAATGCACTACTTGTGATAAATATGTTTCATGAACAGAGATCAAAAATTGACTCCTTAAACCTTGTATGTGTATGTGTGTGTATAAGTATGCTTCCTCCCACTCTTATTCTCCTGAGTCAAATTTCTGCCGACATCCCAGCGAGTGACAGGCGTTACCCAGGCCTTGTGCTTTAACCAGAGCCAGATGTAGATGTGACAATAGAGCGCCACAAGGGGAATGCACAACCCCCCACCCCTATCCTTCCACCGTCCTTATTTATTTTCCTTACAGGATTTTATTCATGCGTTGAAAAGTGTCTGCGAGTCAGCGGTTCAGATTTGCGGACACCCTAACATATTGACAAAGGCATTATTATGAGGAAATGAACAAGGAGGAGGCCCCACTGTTTGGAATGGTCTGACTGCAGGATTGAAGGAGTTGTGCACAAAAGCACATTGTGAAATGGAGTACCTGCTTTGGCAGGAGTTCCTTTTCCCCCACTTCTGCTAAATAAAAACCATCTCTGCTCCATCTCTGATGGTGATAAACACTGAGCGCCCTCGTTTTAGGTATCGCTTCTAATGAAAACAGGGATGAATGGAACTGTCTGTGTCTCTGGCTGGTCTTTGAGCTGGAATATCACACATCAGTTTATGAGGAGTGTGTGTGTTGAGAATTACAAAATACTATGATTAAAGGTTTTTGCTCCAGCTCGTAGTGAATCATTTTTTAAAATTTTCTTTAACAAATTAAATCATAATTGAATTCACCAGATTTTTAAAAAATTTACTTTGGCCTACAACCATATTTTTGAGGTGTAACAATTTGAGGAGGAATGCCTTTTTTGCTTTTTCAAGTCCATCCATCTAGCCATCATCTTCTGCTTGTTCCGAAGTTGGGTCCCGGGAGCAGCAGCTTGAGCAGGGACAGCCATACATCTATTTCCACAGCCACTTCTTCCAGCTCTGCTGGGAGGATTCCAAGACGTTCCCAGAAGGTAGATGTCATCTCTCCAGCGTGTCCTGGGTCTCCCCTAGGGTCTCCTCCCAGTCGGACATGCCCGTAGCACCTCCCTAGGGAGGTGCCCAAGGAGCATCCTTATCAGATGCCCGAACCACTGCAACTGACTTCTCTCAATATGAACGAGCAG